TTTTTCTGATTTAGATTTTCATTGTAAGTATTTTCTTGAGCATGTTCTATGACAAATGAGTTTTCTTTTGTGCGAAATTTTTTAGTTATAAAATTTTCCAAGATTTCAAATTCTTTGATCGAAACGTACGATAAGTCCAGGCACTGTAAATTTTGAATATCATTGAACATCCAAGAAACATTCAATTCTCTTAAAATAGTTGGGCCGTGATATGTTAACTTTTTTAGTGTTTTTGAACAAATGCGTATCAGATTACAAACTTCACTGATAAGCGAGTTGGCAATATGTTCGTGCATACATCTTACCGGTTCGTTGCTCTCGAGTTGTTGTAAAGATGAAAACGTACCAACTAGCGTGATCCAATTGGCTACCCCAGCGTCATTTAAAAGCGAAATTTTCAAAGATGTTAGGCTAAACTTGGCTTTCGAACCGTTTATCTTGAATGGTACTTCTAGCACTAATTCTTTCAAACGAGTGAAAGACGCTATATTAACTTCAACTAAAAATAAATCATTATTTATCGGTGGACCTTTTGTTTTCTCGGGTTTTATAAGTGGAATTTCACCTGAAATAAAAATTATTGATATTTTTTCTAGAGTTGAATTATGAATTTCTAACAATTTGTTGATAACCTTCAAAATAACGTGAAAATTAGACATTTGGGAATTAAGTTTGATAAAGACTTCTGTCAAAGCAAACAAATTTGACTTAACAAAAAGTGTTTCGATAATATTACTTTGATCATTTCCGTTAAGTAAACTGGTGTCTTTTTCTACGGCTTCATTTGTGTAAACTAGATACAGCTGCGTAATATTTCTCAAATATGGGTATTCTATGTCTTTGTTATTGCTTATGTCGTTTAATAGCAAAAAATTAGAAGTGTTTTTCAGTAAATCAAGCGCCGACTGATTCCTACTAACTAAATATTGTTTGTTCAGATATTTGATTGGAATATCGTCCAAATCAAAGAAATTGCGACTTTTAAATAATTTTTTGAATTTAGCCTGATCAGTTGCTTCCAAATACACATATATTTTTCTGAGTAAAAAAATGTCAATCATAGCATTTAATACTTTAGTATTAATTAAAGTTCAATTATTCAAATCCACTTTAATAATGACGTTTAGTTCTTTACACAAGTTCTAATCTAGTCTAAATATCATTTTTTTTTTCGATCATGACTATACAAATCTTCGAAAAATACAATAATTTGTTTAATCATATAACGATACGGTCCAACTAAAATTAAATCTTTTTTTTTCTATATTAGTAGTTAAGTATTAATTAATTGATGGTGAAAGCACAAACAGTTTAAAGCATTAATCTATATATCTAATGTAAATTATTTTGTGATCCAAATAAACTAATTTTAAGTAATTATAGTATCTAACCAGAATTTACATCTGACGAAAACTATTGTGTGCGGCAGTAATTCTGAAATCTCTTTATTATAAGATAAATAAAATTCGCAAATAAAATCCTATAATTTTAAATAGATGCTTGCTAGACCCAATTTTTAATTCATGGATTTGGAACAAGTATTATCAAAGTTTCTTTCAGGAAATATAAGTCAAAAAGATTTCAAAGTAGAGTTATTTAAAAATTGTTCACAACTGAACCAAATTTTAGAACAATCTAAAGAAGCTGCAAAAACTGCGTTCAACAATACTGACTTTCAAAAAGCGGCTGAATTGTACACTTCTTGCATACTATGTTGCAATGAAAAGGACAAAGAAGAATTAGCTAAACTTTATTCAAATCGTAGTCATTGCTATTACTATACTAAAAAACAATTGGCTTGTTTAACCGACGCGATTATTGCCGTTGAACTAAATCCGAATTGCTTCAAGTATTGGCTCCGTTTAGCCAATGCGTTCGAGTTAAGTAACGATTATCAATCTACGTTAACTGCTTTAAAAAAAGCAAAAGAAAAAACAACCATTGATAACTATATCAGCTTGATTAATGAAAAAATTAACCATTTTGATTCTCTTATTTTAAAAGAAAAAATATTTAATAGATATCAGCTTGATTATTCAAGATTTGATATAAAACCCGATTTAGAGGACGTTGCTACAAACACAACGGAAACTTCTTCAGAAAACGAACTAAAAATTGAATTCGCTAACGACATCGATACAAGTAAAAAAAATCAAATCGAGCAAGTCTTACTACGCAAAAACAGTAAACATTCTTCTGGTATTACCAGTTCATCTAAAACTGTCGAATTTCTACCATATAATGAAACTAAAAACTCAAAATATGTAGCATATTCGAAGAACTTTATCAGAATTTTAACCGAACTTATTGTAAAGCGTTTAGCGGTTGACAGATTTTTTGATTTACACGATAGCGAGATTAACTCGAGATATATTGCTAGTACGCTCAAAGAAATTGAGATGCTTTTAACACAAAAAGATGCCAATTTTGTTGAAATATGTTTAATAGGATGCGGTTCCATAACCTTTATATTATCGATTATAAATTTAATAGATAAACTTACGGTTATAATAAATAAAGAAGAAAACATAATTGAATACCACATAATTAATGAACTTTTAAAAGAAAAGTCTGAAAAAATCACTTGGATCGATGTTTCGAAAAGATCCACTAAAGAAAAAGATAAAGTACCTGAGGAACTTACTAATTTAAGTCAAGAATCTCAAAACATTTATTTGAATGGTTTGGATTTTCAACAGCAATCTGAGCAGTTAAGAGAAATTTCGACTAAAACGTTTGATTTAGTAATTGTTGACCCCGACCTGTTTGATATTTTTGTTTTAAATCCACTAAACAAAATTGACATTTTTGACAATGTGCCAAAAGCAAACAAATACATTCCGTCTAGAATCGATTTAGTTGTTTCTTTGGTAAATGTCAACTTATCAAAGTACTTATTGGTTAATAATCCTTGGTCATTAGCTCCTTTGCCTTATGATCCCAACAAAACGCCTTTGATAGATAAAGGAGAAGAGATTAAAGTTTTTTCGTTTTACTTAGAAGAAGCATCGCTAGCTTTATTAGAATTAAAAGAAAAAATTGAATCTAAACACTTAGTTATAAATGATTCATTCTTGTTTAACAATACGCTTAAATTCAAACCAAATGGAATCCTACTTTATTATAAAATATACACAGAATCCGGTTTGACATATGATTGCTTATCTCACAATTTAGCATCAAGCCTGGCTAGATTACGTTCATCATACTTACTGCTGTTAAGGGAAGTTGTTGATGCCAACTATTTAAATGATAGTCATCAGCTGATACTACATACTGCTAAATCTACAATAACCGGAGTTACTTATGTACATGACAATTTAGTCATGTCTTCTAGATATTATCCAGATGAAAAGTCATTGCCTAACATATTTTCAAGCATAGCCTTAGAAACAGACGAGGTAATAGATCGAAAATTCAAAGAAAGTCTTGAATCTTATGTTGCAACAGTTCACGAAAGAATTAAACTAGGTAGAAACTCAAAAATCAACATATTATTTTTTGATTGCAGGTCTTATGCAGATATGTTGTCAACGTTGACTTCCATTGTCAAACTTCCTCAAACTAGTTCAAGCAAATTTGCGGCAACGAGTTATTCTTTGTCTTATTGTTCTACAAATAGTTTAGAAGCAGTTGAAAAGAAATTCAACACCGATTTTACAAAAATATATGAGACATGTTTAGAGAAATACAATTCAAACGGACTAAAATGGAGAAATTCAAAAAACGAAATTATCGAACAAAAGGTTACAAATTCTCTTACTTCAGCTTACGATTTAAAAAAAATCGTTAAATTTAAAAAAGCTTCAATGTATCAAGCGTTGCCAATAAATCCGAAAATAAGACAGAAACTTTCATTTGAAAATGCTCGACGAATGTTTTTCAACACCAACAACGAAATATCTGAAGACTTCATGACATACAAAATTGAGGATGATATTGACGTATGTTTTATTGGAGGATCTTTTTTGGCAGCTTATGAATACGATCCTTTTGCAACACAATTATTCCAGCAAGCTCTTTATGCGAAAACCGCATTTCATACTTACAATAAGTGCTTGATTTCACCAGGATTAATCAACATTTACGCAATTCCGTTTTCTTGTGAATCTAATTCGTTGATTCAGTACCTGATTCCACTTACTAAAAAAGCTCGTTGTATAGACAGAATGAAATTTTTGGAATTACTCAACACAGAACCAAAACAAATATTGCAGGTTGACTTAAACCAATTAACTAGTTCTAAACTTGCAAATCTTGCGAACAAAACCACTTCTATAACGTGGAATTTTGATGCTGAAAAAACAATTCACGGAATTTGCTGTTACACAGAGTTCCAAATGAGTTTATCTGCGCCGCATGTTTACTTTTCACATGCGCCAATTAAAGTCGCACTGAGTGATCAAGTCGCTAGGTTTAAGGATTGTCAACAAATTTTGATTAGTTTACCAGAAACAAAAACAAAAACTCTTAGAGTACATTTTACGTTTAACAAACTCCAGACAATCGAAGCTAACTTAGCTTCTTTCAAGCACGTACCTGAGCAAATGCCCATAACATCCAACATATTATTTAACTTGAGTGAAATGCTATCAAAATTGGATATTGAGTATATAAACGCTACATACCAAGGAATGGACCTATTGAAATACTTTCAAGCAGCCCTTTTAGACTACGCCCAAAACGGACTAGATCCAGGCATGGATTTTGGTAGTTTCAATGAGGTTTTTTCGTATTTGCATACATTTGCAGTATAGCATAACAGTTAATTTATGCATGATAATTCTCGGATATTAGCTTAATAAAATTAGATATAAAAGAAAGAACGACAAAAGATCAAAGTTTTTTTACAATTAAAGTCCCCGTATAAAATTATTTGTGTGCTCCTAATATTTAAATGGTGTTAATATCTCAAAGATATATTTTTTTTCTTGTTGTAAAAGCAGTTTAAAATAATTAAAACCTTTAGCATAATAGAAATATAATGATTCACTAACAGAATGAAACATAAACTCGTTTTTTTAGGGGAACAAGGAACAGGAAAAACCTCCATTATGACTAAGTTTATTTACGACAGTTTCGACGAAGACTACCAAGCTACTATTGGAATAGATTTCTTGGCGAAAACTTTTCGTACGAACGGAGAAATAATTAAATTACAGTTATGGGACACTGCAGGCCAAGAAAGGTTTTATTCGCTCATCCCAAGTTATTTACGGGACTGTTCTGTCGCAGTTATTATTTACGATATCACAAACAAAGAGTCATTTACCAAAGTTGATCACTGGATCGATTGCATTTACAATGAAAGAGGCAAAGAAATAGTTATTGCTATATGTGGAAATAAGCTAGATCGAGAAGATCAACGCAAAGTATCTTATGAAGAAGGAAAAGAGTACGCGCAGAAGTTTAACGCTATTTTTTTTGAAACCAGCGCGAAAACAGGAGAAAACATTATTACTTTATTTAATGAAATTTGCAAAAAATTACCCAAAGACAATAACGACAATAAACTTCTTAGTCCTGTTGAAATCGAGTTAGAACCTAACAACAGTTCGAGTTCCTTAATTAATACCTTGTGCAAATGTTAGATTTTCCACCTTATATAAATTTTTTATAATTGTTAATATTATATAGGTCGCCTTCGGAAAATTATGGTAAAAAACACTTTTGCCGATGAGGACGAATTATTTTTATCTGGTTCTGAGGAAACTGATATTTTTGTCGAAACCCCGTCAGAATCCGTTCACGGCAATCAAAACAGTATTTATAGTTGGAATAATATATTTGATGAACTCAGTGAATCATTTTTAAAGAGAAAAAAAACTTTGTTTAAAATCGAACATACAGAAAACAAACGTCAAAAAACAGACAGCACTAAAGATTTATTGCTTGACAATTTACCATCGAGTGTTGACGGCTCTAATGCAGACAACGCTAAGGAGACAGATTACATCTTAACTAATTACTCGAAACCCGTAATTAAACGGCACGGTCTCACAAAAAAACAGATAGAAGGTTTAACCATTACAAGATTCAAACTGTTTCAGTATTTTTTCGAGGTAGGCGAATCGTACAGAAAAAAACGAAACCTGCTTAAACTCGATAAAATATCTGATCAAGATGCTAAAGACGTGCAAACGATTTCTGGGCATCATATTGCGGCAACTATATACATGTTGGATATCCCGCTGTCAGCTGAGGACATTGAATTAGTTATATCGATAACGAGTAGTGGCAATCTTACTGTAGAAATAAACAGAGAAAAGATGTTTATCGATTCATTCAACATGATATGCAAATTAACCAACGTCGACGGTTTAAATAAAATTAGGCTTAACAAAACTGAGTATAAGAATAATATTTTCTTTTGCACATCGTGCACGCCAATTTACAATTCTTTAATCACCTGGACTAGCTGGTGTAAGGGTTTTGAAGAATTAAAACTAAAAGTTCAAAAAAACGGATTGGTATGGTAACAATGCAACACATTAGTCATTGTGAATGACCCACTCTAAATTTTATTTTATAGTATTATTTTTCTAGCCGCAATTTTAATAAAATAAATTCGGACAGACTTGGAATTTTGAATCGTGTTTTTTATGGACAATAATGAACAAGAAGAATTCACTTGTTTAAATCCTGAGTTGATTAACTCGTTGAATAAAAAACCTGAAGAGAAAAATGAGGAGGAAAAACAGCTACTAACCAACTTTGTTTCGCGTTATATGGAACGAGCTGAAAATTCTAAAAACCAATCTAATTTTGATCTGAACGATCCAGAAGACAGTGGTTTTTTGACTTTTTTGAAACCTGAAATACTGAAAAATTTACATTCTAATGTTTCACAGCACATAAGCCTTGACAAATTCGTTGAAGTCAATAATCGCTACGCTCTTTCCTCTGTAAAAGACATTTTAGTACGTTCCATAGTAGACTATTGGAGCCGTTTGCTTTATTACTATTACCAACGCAACGATAGTATACCAGGAAAACACGTTATAGACACTTGTTTTAGCAGTAAAAAGACCAGTTTTGACGGTTACGGATGTATCATGCCCATTCTCGACGCAAGATACGATCCTACCGGAAAATTTAAGATTGATTTTAGACCAACTAAACTTTGTTCTTGCGCAGATACGAAGTCAAGTTTTATAAAAACGTTAAAACTTCCTCAGTTCAATGTTTGCCTTCCGAAAAAGATTTCGACCAAAATGTTATTAAAGTTACTGAAAAAAAAAAAACTCCTGCCGACTTTCGATGATTCTACAACTGATCAAGAGAAATTAGAAACCCTATCAACGCATTTAAACATTCCGGTCGATATGTTGCAAGATTTGCGCTTATTGCCTTCTTTTTTTAAGTCTGCAAGTTTGCCCACAATACCATTGTCAGCTCTTCAGTTGCTCAGTTACCGGCCAGCTGACTCGTACTCACATGTTAATGTGGATCTTTTAATAGGAAAATGCGTAAACAACCCGGCAATCTACATATATGCATTATTTTATTTCATGTGCATCTTATGTTTACTTCTTTTCCCGCTATATCTAAAAAATAAAATAAACAAGACTAAGAAGAACAACTAGTCGCCCACTTCGAATTCTAAAATCACATTGGAAGGAAGCGTTCGAATTCTGTTTTTCCACACATCGTTTGACACGAAAATGTGGTTAATAGGCCTGTCGTAATATCGACGGTTTTTCATGTGGTTAACGCAATTTTTAAGTTCTTCAGGAGTGGCAAAATACAAATAAACGTCCCCTGAATCAAAGCTACTATCTACTTTTGTGATATAGGGAGTAATAATCGCAGCTTTAACCACACGCCCAAACTCAGAAACTCCTTCCACAACGTCTTCCAAAATTTCGATGTATTCATCTTTTTGAATTCCGTCAGACTCGAGAATTATGTGTTTGAAAACAACCAAGTTCGTTTCTTCTAGGTTGCAAACACCCCCTTTGAGCACTTGTTTAGCCAGATTTTCTGCTGTCTCCAAGGCAGCTCCCACGTTAGGGATCACACCTGCCAGGCGGTTGTGTGACTGCGACGCCCAACCACCGTCATTCATCGTTGCGCTGCAGTAATCGTTCGGCCGCGACACACGAAGAATCATGTCCATGCAAAGCATCCCGTCCAAATTCAACGCTTTGTCGGTTTCTTCTATGGTGGCAAACTCAACGAAACCATAATTTCCCTTTTCTTTCGCAAACCAAATGCAAAATATCGGGTTAACAGCAGGATCATTGCACATTGCACGCTCTTTCATTTCCTTAAAAATCATTTCACTCAGACATTCTTCGGTTAGACCCAGATGGAGCGGCAGATTTCCGAAATACAGTCGACGGAGTTTACGGGTGTTGTTTATCAGAATTGGGTCCACCATCACTCCCGACTTATTGCTCGGTTTGGCTACCCACTGAAAACCGTCCCATAGCAGTGACACAGGCTCTTTTCCTTCCGATGTAGACAAGCTATGGAACCCCCCACACCTCTTGATGCATTCTGCCTGTTTTTTTCGTCTTCTCCGTTCTCTTTCGCGCGAATCTAAATACTCTTGACCTAATTCTTGCGCGAGCACTCGCCTAAAATTCATTCCCTCTGCAACTTACCGCGTTTGACCTGCATTTGGTCTAGGTGTCGATAACTCCTCAACCATATCACTTCTGCAATATATATATCGCCACCCGTGGATTAATACATTACGCTGTGAAAATTACAAATTCGTCGTTGTGCTGTTAATAAAATTTTTATAATATTAACTCTTATATAATAATCATTTTGCATTTTTATAAAACAGTTCTCGGTTGTTTGCGGGAAAAGGCCAATCTAATCTGATTTGATCCATGACGAGCAAACTACAAGCAAACAAAGTTTTTATTTGGAGCTGGCTGACACTTTTTCCTCTCGTCTATTTCAGCGTTTTGTATTTTCTACATTTTCAAAAATATTGGAAGTGATTTACGAAATTTCAACGATTTATAAGATATGTATATAACATTAACGATTTTATAAAATTACTTACTAACTTTGGTTTGCTTTTGAAGTTGAGGTACCAAAAAATTTAGACCTGGCTTTGCTCGGTTGTGTCTTAATATTTTCTGCGTTTGTAGCTTTACTGACGTTCGTTGTTAAAGCACTATCTAGAGTGTTTTTTGCACTTAATACTGAAAACCCTAAAAAACTTTTGAGCTTATTTTTGTTTGTTTTTTGGTCTTTTATCAGCTTTTCCATTTTTTTATTTTTTACACAAGTGTCTGGGATATTCAACAAGTTTCTAAACTTGAAATAAATGTCGTTGTGTTCCAACAAGATTATGATCAAATCTCTCGCAAGGTAAATGTTAGTAACAATTATTAATTGCCATGCAAATCTCGATGGAATGTTTTTGTAGTACGGTAGAAGTAACTTTTGCACACAGTCAGGAGAGAATAGGTTTGTTTTTTCTACGTCCAGATTGTTAGAAATCTTTTTAAAAGCTATTAGCCTTTTTTCGAGTTGCAGATTTCGTTTTAGTTTATTCACCAAACGGAGCTTCCTGTTTTGTGAACTTTTTTCCCAAAACACCTTCGTAAGCTGTAGATCGCATTGGCTGCAGTTTTGTGTTGTGTCTGGTAATACTTCACTACCGTATATGTCAATGTCTGTGTCACTAAAGCACAACGTCAAACCAGTATTCTCCATCACTTCACAAAGCATTATTTTCATCGTTTTCTCTTCGTTTAAACCGTAACAAACTATATTCTCAGACAGAAAACTTTGCTGTTCCAATGGTTTTTCTGCTATGTTGTAAATTTTACGTTCTGTTGACGCTTTTTTAATTTCAATACTGTGGTCGGTTTGGTCAATATTCGTTTCGAACCGATGTAATTTTCCATTTAAGTAGGAAGGGGATACTCTTATAAAATTGCATTCATTTGAGTCGTCGTAAAAACTACTTACATACTTAAACGTTGTGTAAGGAAATCCATGAACATCGACATTGGTAAAGAATTGATTGACGTTATCATTTTGTACACAAGTTTCTCTGCGATTATCAACAATCTTAGCGTCTTGTTTGTCATGTTCAGTGTTATGGTCTGGTTTTATTTTTACATCTGGTTCTGACTTCTTCTCCTCTGACACTTTAAGTGTCGTAGATTCTACTGTTTTTTTATCGTCTAAAACTGGTTCATCAACGGTGACTGTTAATTTAGCAGCAGTGTTTACTATTTTCACTTCTTCGTTTGTGTTAGTTTTATTTTCTAACAACGAAGAAAGTATCAAATCTGAAGGTAAGTGAGTAATATTCACATTTTTTCCAACGTTGCTTAGCAGTTCTTTTATTATTTTTTTACACGACAGACCGCTTTTTTCACTGATTTTTTCAACGGTTAAGTAGCTAATAGAGAATTCGTTGATCAAGCAATACATCGATATATACTTAATAACGTCAACGTGGTTGAAAAAGCTGACAAATTTGATGGGGTTCTCGATTATCGATAGAATTTGCTTTATTATTTCGTCCACCACCTTGTACATAGTAGAAAACAAATTTTGGAAGTTCGCCTCAAACTCCACTTGGGAACTTTTGGCAAAGTTCAGCACAAAATAT